AAATAAGTCAAGATTTGCACTAGACCATCGCAGTTTTGTTGGCCTAGAGGTGACACATTTGCATTCTTGTTTTCCAGCTAATCTTTTTTCCTTTTTATTCATGTATTTATAAAAGCAGTAGCTTGCACCCCTATAGCACAGTTTTTTTTCTTTCTTTCCCTTCTCTGTTTTAGGTATTTTTTTGATTGCAAGGAATAGAGACCTTGTGATTGCCTTTAAGTAATTGAGTTTAAGGATTTACAGGAGAAGATGGAGATTAGGCACTTAAGAACATAGTTCTTATAGTAAAAAGAATCAGCCATGGATCCAGGCCCCGTTCCCCCTCAGAAATAGGTGCCTTTGTTCCCTGTTCAGGTTTTCCTTGCTGAGTTATTCTCATTCTTCTAATCCTTCTCTGTGACCAGTGCTTCTACTGCTCTCCATTAGCTGCCTCATGTGTCTGTTGTCTCCTGGAGCCCTGTCTGTGTGTTGTTCTCTCTCATTCTCATTACTAAAGCCGACAGTCACATTCCAAAAGAGAGTATCTGATTGATTGACTTAATGACCTGTTGATGTCAGGCTAGCTCTTATGTCATTAGCGAGCTAAGAGATTCTCTGTTTGTGGGTCATGTGACAATTAAACAGGGTCATGTACAAAGTATGGTGGCATCTAAAACCTGTCAGAAGGGCCGTTGGCAGAGCAAGCATACAGCATCTTCCATTCCTCCTTTGTAACAATTGATTGACCTAACTTATTAAGGACAGTTATTAGACTGGATTGTCCCCAAAACTAGCCAGCTACTATTTATAGACGAAGGTTTAGATGAATTGCTTATCTCATTCCTGTAATGTTAAGGGTTTTTTCCTTTTACTTTCATTCTTAGATGAATTTCATTCTTAGGCACAAAACAAAGGACAGTCTTTGCCACCTTTTAGCCACAACTTAAAATAAACCCATGGTACTGATTGTTGGTCCAAGAAAGCCCATCTGTTAGAGACTGTGAAGAGAAAATTCAGACGTTTCCATTCTTGTCAGCATCTTTAAATTTGGCAGAAGAGATAGGAATTATGAGCTGAAGTAGGGTTTTGGATTATTAGCTCCACCTGGGTTTGAATCCTGGCCTTCCCATTTACTAGATGATAGATGAGTATCTTTTCTAAACTTCAATCACTAATAAAATGGAGATCATGTTATTTGCCTCATGTGGTGGTTAGAATTGATAGGGTGAATGCAAAGCAGTTAGCAAAGTGCCTGGCATGTAATAAATGCTTGGAATGCAGCTCACATTATCTCTAGATCATTAAGTTTTATTAAAAAGAGGTTATACGAGTCCATCAGTAAGTTCTTATTGCTAAGGAAAACTAACATTTCTTGGTGTATGGGCAGAGACCTGATTATTGAATACTTGTTTACACAGTGCTATGCGAGGTACCAACTGGTTATATACAGAGACATACTGTGATATGATTCTTGCTTTCTAATCTCCACTATGAAATATCAGTCCCAGAAAAATTTTTAAGGGAACTCCACTCAATGGTATTGTTGGAATTCAGGTTCTGTTACTGTGTGACCTTGGGCAAATTATTTCTCTGTGCCTCAGTTTCTTCATCTGTGAAACAGGGAAAATACCTCATAGGATTACTATAACAGTGAACAAGTGAGTTAATATATGTAAAGCTCGGGACGCCTGGGTGGCTCAGCGGGTCGAGTGTCTGCCTTTGGCTCAGGACATGATCCTGGATTCCCGGGATCCAGTTCTGCATTGGGCTCCTTGCATGGAGCCTGCTTCTCCTCCCTCTGCCTGTGTCTCTGCCCCTCTTTCTGTGTGTCTCATGAATAAGTAAATAAAATCTTTAAAAAATATATATATATATGTATATGTAAAGCTCGTAGGACAATGTCTGATAACATGGTAAGTGCTATGTATAAATTGCTACTGCTAGATTATGACTCCTGGCAGTTTAATTCTTGAAGCCTCCTTGGGCTTAATTGACCAGTTTTTCCCCCCTTTAGTTTAAAGTGAATTTATGTATGTATGTATTTATTTGACAGAAAATACAAGCAGGGGGAGGTGCAGAGGGAGAAGCAGACTCTCCTCTGAGCGGGTGCCCCCCCCCGCCCCCCGGGGCTCAATCCTAGAACCCTGGGATCATGACCTGAGCCGAAGGCAGACGCTTAACCAACTGAGCCACTTAGGTGCCCCAGGATAGGTTTCTTTGTTAGGGGGCTTACAGTATATCTTTAGCCTCCATCATCAAGGCAATTTTATAGGATCTAGCTGGTAAGAGATGAGCGAGCTGAAGGGCATGGTCTACAGATAATCTCATTCCATTTTGAGATTGGACACCATGATATCTGTGTCTTGCAACCCCTCCTTTGGTGATGCTTTGGCAGGAAAAATATATCTCGAAAGTCTTACAAAGCTGATTTTTCCACTCACTGAAACATTTTTTTTTTTACAGGCCTAGAATGAATAGGGTGCTAGTGATTTGAATGTAGGATATGGGAAAGGCAATCTGAATTGAGACCTTTGATTTTAGCTTAACATATCCAGCAGGCAAGGGGTTTTCTAATCTAAAGCTACTTCCCTTTCCTTTTTTTTTTTTTCTTTTTAAAGATTTTATTTATTTATTCTTAAGAGACACAGAGAGAGAGGCAGAGACATTGGAAGAGGGAAAAGCAGGCTCCCTGCAAGGAGCCTGATGTGGGACTTGACTGCAGATTCCGGAATCACCCCCTGAGCGGAAGGCAGATGCTCAACCACTGAGCCACCCAGGTGTCCTGCTACTTCCCTTATTAAAGGAGAAATTTTTTTTTTTTTAAGATTTTATTTATTCACCAAAGACACAGAGAGGCAGAGACACAGGCAGAGGGAGAAGCAGGCTCCATGCAGGGAGCTCGACGCGGGACTTGATCCGGGGTCTCCAGGATCACGCCCTGGGCTGAAGGCGGCACTAAACCGCTGAGCCACCCGGGCTGCCCTTAAAGGAGAAATTCTTTTGTGGTTTTATATTTCCTTTTCAAGAAGTGAGATTAATATGTTTTCTTCCCATATTAGTAAGATAAAACATCTTTTCATTATGTTTATTGATCATTTGTATTACTTTTGTGAATTGCCTACTTGTGTCCTTTGACCTCTTGTTTATGAAGAGATTACTTCTGTAGAATAAGGGCGTTAAAACTTTGCCAGCTCTGTTTCAAATATATTTTTCATTTTGTTAATTGTCTTTTACCTTAGGTTGTTATTTTTTTTATTTTTAACTGCACAGAAGCTTGTAATCTATAAATTTTTCCTGAAGTATGTCATCTCATTCTGGTTAGAGAATTTCTGTTGGGTGTTATAAAACATGTCATAGTTTATGTGTAGACTGATCCACTTAATAAACACTTTTCCCTACAGAGAGGTGATTGTCACATGATTTGAAAAGTCTTTGCAAACTAACATAGGCTTGTGGCTGTAACACCATAACAGTAGCTAACACATACTGCACAATAGCTTTTGTCAGGCACTATGCTAAATCTTATATATACTGTGTTCGTAATATTCAGCTTCATGCTGGATAGTATTAATGTCTATATTTCATAGATGAGTCAGGTGGGCCTAGAAGAAGTAAAATGATTTGCCCAGGGTCACAGAGCTAGTTAGTGGCAGGATTGGAATTTAATTTAACTCTGTCTAATTTTAAAGTGTATACTTTCTCTACAAAGCTTGACTTCTTGAGGCTTCCAATAATTAGAGTGGTCCTAAAAGTTAAGTAAATATCTTTCACCAGAACTTGAAAAGATGGTACGTTAGCCTAGATGAACTACTTTTGATTTCTGAGAGTGTAGTGGAGAAGGACTAATGAGAAGTGTGTAAGCTAGTCGAAAGAAAAGTCTCTACTGTCCAGGGTAGTAATTTTCAACGTGTGGTTCCCAGGCCAGCAGCATCAGCATCACATGGACATTTATTAATGCAAATTCTTAGGTCCCACTGGAGACATACAAAATCCAAAAACTCTGGGGTTGGGATCCAGTAATCTGTTTTATACTACTTCTGCTGATTATGATGCATGTTAAAATTTGAGAACCACTGGTCTAGGGAAATTATGTTGTTCTCTCTGATCATAATTTCTGTTTTTGTGAGCTTTAGCCCAAGTCTCAGCCCTTATGTGCAAAATTAGCATTATTGGATGGTGGCAAAAGCATGGAGTCAAACAGGGGCTAGTTTTGAGATTGGTTTAATTAGCACTTAAGGCAAGTCCACCTCTGTGAGCCACAGTTTGCCATCTCCAAAAAGATGTTCATAACATCTATCTCCATATGAGATATTTATTAGAATTAAATGAGATAGTTTGAAAAGTGTATAGCATCTTGCCAGGCTCCCAGGGGTTTGAGAAATTGCCTCCAACAATTGTTCTTGTTTAGCAAAAAGCCCCAGCTGCCTTCTATTCTCAACTTCTCTTGTTTTTTGAATGTATTTTGCTGTCTTGTATCTCTGGGCCTTTGCATTAGCTCTTTCTCTTGGATACCTGCACCCCCACCCCTCTTAACCTCACTAACTTCTCGACATCCTTTTGATCACTGCTTCTGGTTTACTTCCCCTGGAGAGGGCTTTCTCAAATCCCCACCCTCCAGTCTCTGTGCTCACATAGCAGCCTATGTTTCTCCTGTCACTGCACTCATCACAAGATTTGGAATTGCCTGTCTCCTATATAAACCTAATTGAGGGCAGGTACAGTGCCTTGTCTACCACCATATTCTAGGGACCAGTAAAGTTCCTCATATACTGTGGGAGCTAGTAAGTGTTGAATGAATGAATGGTGGCTGTCATTGCTGCTCCATCATCATCATCATCATCATCATCTGAAAGCAAGCTCCCCTCTCTGGCTTATAGTTTTTGTGCTGACTGCTTGTGATAATCATAGATAGTATCAGGACCAGTGCCTGTTTTCTCTTTCCCTGAAAACACATGCTTTGATCTAGGCTGACATGGTAGTTCACTGAGCTGCTTCCTAACCACGATCCCTTTGTGTCACAGGTGCCTTGGGGGAACTGTATGCCTTGATGGGTCAAGTTCATCATATGCAGAACCCAAAATGGCAGCATCCTTCGGACCTCACCATGCGGTGAGTGGGTGATTAGGAGGAGGAGGGAAAGGGTAGAATTTGGCTACAAGAGGAATGTGGTGGGTAGTTCGGGTGTAATTGTTTAATTCCAGAGGTGGGAAAAGAAACAGAGTATAATGGAATAAGAAGTGAGCTGAAATTCAGGAAATGAGTTCTGTTCTAGCTTTGCAGTTTATAATGTAGCTATATGATTTTGATCAAGTCATGCCACCTCTTTGGTCCTTACATCACTACAACTAATAAGTTGGACTTACTGGGATCCCTGGGTGGCGCAGCGGTTTGGCGCCTGCCTTTGGCCCAGGGCGCGATCCTGGAGACCCGGGATCGAATCCCACGTCGGGCTCCCGGTGCATGGAGCCTGCTTCTCCCTCTGCCTATGTCTCTGCCTCCCTCTCTCATTCTGTGTGACTATCATAAATAAATAAAAATTAAAAAAAAAAAGTTGGACTTACTGATGTCAGAGGGCCTTTCTATTCTGAAATCTTCTGGATTCTTGATGTAGTATGGCTTTACAGATTTATTCAGTTACTTTGATCCAGATACTGAGAAACTTTGGAGTCACCTTGACTCCTTTCTCACCCCATATTCAACCTATTAGCAAATTTGTAAGCCCTACATATAAAATATATCCCAAACCTGATAATTTCTCATCATTTTCACTTGAACTGTTGCAAGTCTCCTACATGATCTCCCTGCTTCTGCCTTTGCCTGTCTACTATTTTCAATTCAGCAGCCAGAGATTCAGATTCTCTTCTTTGCTCAGAATGTTCCAGTGGCTTTCCATGTCACATTTCCCATCTTCATGATCCCCTAGAAGGACCATGGCCTGGGCTGACATGGTTAGCTTGCTGACTGCATCTCCTACTACTCTTCCTCTTGCACATTCTGCTCTAGTTCCTCTGGCTTTGCTATTTTTCGAATGTCACACATGCTCCCACCTCAGGGCCTTTATACTCAGTGTTTCCTCTAGAGTTGCCAAAATTATAGCATCATTTTTCTGGTAGGATTGTTATTAGCATTAAATGAGATGAGGTATTTAAAGAATTCAGTAAGTACTTGCATATAGGGTTAGATAAATGTCATAAAATGTTTAAATTATTTTTAACTCTGGCTGCTCACAATCACTTTTGGAGATGTCTAAAAATGAAGATGTCGAGACCCTGCCTCAAGGGATTCTAAGTCATTATGTCAGGGAGTAGGGGCAAGAATCTACCTTTAGAAAGCTTCCCAGGTGGTTATTAGGAATAGCTGGAGTTGAGAATGAGATCACATTACCTCAGAGGGTCTTGTTCAGAATCCCAGCGTAAAGGACTGGTGGTGACTAAAGAAGATCAAGAAACTTTACTTTGATTCCGTGCTATTAATTATTCAGTCTCTAAACTTGCAGTGTGATACTCACATGATGACTTACCTTCTCTGGGAATTTTATTCTAATTTTAACTCCTGTGTCCTGAGCAACCTTGAGCTGTGTCAGACAATGAAGTCCTGATGCATGCAATGAAATAATAGATCCTGTTTTAAATGTTCCTTGAGGGAGAAAATATTTTTTCCCTACTAAAACATTATTACACATCATATATGAGGTTTTCTTAATATTTGTGAATATGGCACACTTCACCATAATACCTGTGCAGCAACTGGTTTTAGAGTTAGAAGGAAATAGCACTTACTCTTGTGCCTTTCTTTTCTTTTAATTTTTTTTTTTATTTATTCATGTGAGAGACAGAGTGAATGAGAGCATGAGTGAGGGGGAAGGGGAGAGAGAGAGGGAGAAGCGGCTCCCCAGTGGCAGGGAGCCTGATGTGGGGCTCGATCCTAGGGCCCTGAGTTCATGACCTGAGCCGAAGGCAGACGCTTAGCCCACTGAGCCACCCAGGTGTCCCACATTGTGACTTTCATATAAATAAAATAATATAAAATTTCTAAAATTTAAGATTGAAAGGTAGAATCAATATCTGATATCCAAAAATAAATTCTTAAGATAGTTGTCTAGGCCATTTTCTGTGTACAAATAGCCATTCCAGCTGAAACTCTCATCTTTGTTTTTATTTTCCTTCTCTCCTAATAGAAACTACGCTCGGTTCCGGCAGAAACCTTTGCAAAGATACAGTCTGACTCAGTGGGTCGACAGGAACATGCGAACCCACCATCGTTTCCAGCGTCTCCCGGACTTCCCAGCGAGTCCATTTGTCTCATCCCATCAGCAGTGAAGGTCCCTATCCAGGGTCCTGTTCAGAGCAGCATCTCATCTTCTGCTCTTTTGTGCTTTGTAGATTTTGAATTTTATTTTTCACAAGATTTTTATTTAAAGAACTTGTCACCTTTGGAAATTCCCATTGCTGACTTGAGAATTTTTTTTGTATAAGGTCCTTCTTGTTTGTCTGTGTGCATGCATTTAAGCACTGTTAATTTTTTATTTTTTTATTTAAATCAAAGGTGGCCACTTCTTGAAAGCCAGCATTAAGCCAGAATACCTAGGCTCAAGCCAAACCCCAAATGCAAACCCCCACCTCTACACAGAGGTGAACTCTACTTCTGGTGCCCAAAAGAAATCATCTTGTAATCTCCTGTAAGGAAGAGATTACCAGGCTGCAAGCCAGTGTGAATTATTGCTGATGACTTATAAATGGACATAAGTCACTTTTATAAACCCCTCTTACTTTTTTATTTGAATCTCCGAGGACTTGTCAGTATTTTAAAGTTGGTAATCCAGGACATTTGAAGTAGGATGGAACAGGACAAAAATCCTGTTGAAAGGACAAGTTAAAAGTGTAAATGTTCTCTCCTTTTTGTACTTACTAGCTGCCTTTATTTATTTATTTTTGCTCCCCACCCCATTCTTTATTAAATTTGTTTTGCACAATAGATTTATAAATCTTACACATCTTAGCTCTGACATAGGACTGCTGACTAACCCTTGTTAATCTGTGGTCTTGTGACTGATTGTCTTTTCTGCCTTTTCTCAAGGATTTTCCTTCTTTTTTCCCTGGCGACCATTGTGCTCCTTAGGTTCTGTTGATGTGTTCCTGTATCCTGTTAGACCCAGATATGCCTCTTAAGAACGCCTCCCTGCTCTCTTCAAGGAGCTTCCCACATAGAGTCTTAACTCCAGGACAGGTTAGAAAGCCAGTACTACTGAGGTGTGAGTTGGTCTTCAGTTTCATCCACTCAGCTCCACCTTCAGTCTTGAGTTGATGTGTCAGTCCGTAAGCTCCATCCTGTGGGAGAGACTTGGGAGAGGTGCTCTTTTGTCTCTGTGATTAGTTAACAAGCAGTGCCTCTAGCTTCTGGATGTTACCATTTTCTTTGGTCATACTCCTGGGACACAGTTTGACAGAACTGCTCCTGTGGGTCTAATGTATTTGTGATTAAGCCTATGTACAAAGCATTACCTGATCTTAAAGTTTGGTATTCTAACTTAAGTTGATGGACTTTGTGCAGCCAGCCTGGTGGATGTCTGAGGAGTTTGTTCTCCTTTCTTTACAGACGGCTTTAGACGGCTTTTGGAAGGTCTTGCAGTCGGGCATTCATGCTGTTGCTCACCCTCTTTGAAGGCTGGGACATAGTTATCATAGCATCGCCTGTGGTGCTGGGCTAGCAGCCTCTCTTGGGTTTTGTTGGTTCATCAGCCCCACTTTTGTACGTGAGAACCTCATCTTAAATACCCTACCCTGCTTTAGAAACTGACTTGGTGAAGGTTTGGTCATTTAAGCCGCCAATAAACTTAGATGGATGTCCCTAAGTGTTTACTGTTTTTACCTAGGTGAGGATTCTCTTCCTTGGACACTAGGTTTAGATTCTGGGACCAAATGCAAAGTTCTGTTCAAAGGCAAGAGTCAAAATCTATTATTTTAGTTGGCATAATGGACATTTACTACATTATTCACTTTTCCAGATTTCCCTAAATTAGCATGATGGAGTAAGAGAAGCAGACATCTACCTTTGGAATGACAGCATAATAAAAATTAATTGTAGCTGGAATAACTAGCACTGTAGCTGTCTAGTTCTCCACAGACAACCCAAGGAGTGAAAGGACAGCATTTCGCTTAGGCTCATGTTCCTGCATTCCTGGTACAGGAGGGTTTAAGTCTGAATGTGTAATGGCAGCATTGCCTTTGCCAAATCAAATGAGTGACGGGTTAACCAGAAAATGTGACAATCACATTTCCTCTTTGCTCAAATAATTCTGTTTTTCCAAAGCGTTAGCAGCTTAATTAAATCTGTTGGACTGGGGGAGGAGAGAACTGTTCTCTAGCGGTTAACATGGTATTCTTGAAGAAGAAAAAAACAAAGCCAAAGAAAACTCATTATCAGGCATGTTTGCCTTAGAAATGGTAGTGGGTAAAATCTGGAGTTCTAATCTGTTTTTAAAGCTGCATATCTCATATGTGGTCTTGGGCTCACAGTCTAGTATTTCCTGAGTTCTTGAGTAAGGGTTTTGTGCATTTAACTGCCTACCTAGCTTTCTTCCTTCAGGAGACATTTCTCACCACAGTGGTCTTGACAAAGAGTAACAATGTGCTATTTACAGAAGTTTACTTATAAGAGCCTGCAATAACCTATAGCTTTGCATCTCTCACAAGCCTGATTGACTTGAGTTGTCAGGATCAATTATGAAACCGAAGTTTGGTGCCTCCTCTTTATCATGTTTTTTCCCTTGTAGCAGTTGTGTTTAATGTCATTAAAAAGAAATAAAAGTTCTTGTCGTGGCACATGTACTGTGGCCGTCTGTTGCAGGCTTTGAAAGGAGGGTTCCATCCTTTTCTTGTGTAGGAAGGTTAGTGGGGTCTGGGCGGGGGTGGCAGTTAGTAGAATGTGGTACTGGGGAGGCGAGGGTGCACGCTCCCTATTCTTTTGAGGGTAAATTACAGTGTTGAGAAAGGCTTTCTAGCAGTCAAGAAATGTTGAAATTGATTGGGATTTGCAGCTACATATAGTGCATGTCAGCAGCCTGACATAGGGGAAGCCTGAAATATCACTGTGCTGCTGTTTTTGCAGAAGGGGGAGACGGCTTAGCCCGATCAGACAAACACTGCCTCACATTCCTTCCCATGGCTGTGTGGTTGACCCCTGTCTGCCTCTCCCAAACTGGTGCTGATCAGGGAAGAAGCTGAGTTAACCCAGAGCATTCTCCCTTTGAAGAAAGGGATATGGGAAACCAGAAGTGATCATCCAAAATTGATGGTAGTTCTTAATCCAACTTCTCTAGAAACTGACTGCTCCTGAACCTGGGATGCAGGTGGAAGTGTGGGTAGATAGGGGAGACACAGCGTTCCTTACATCCCTTTTGTGAACCTAAGCTTCTTAGATTTACCCCAGGAAACAGGATGAAGTCAGTAAGAGCTTGTCACCTATATTAGCCAATGCTTATAAAATCTCAACTCATGCTGAGTAAATAAGTACCAACATGTTTGGACAGACTCTGTCTTGCTGTTACATAAGTTTTGTCTAATGGCTGTTCTGTAGTCCAGGCAAAAGCTTCAATACAAATTTGCCAAACACTCAGCTATTTGATACTGTCTCACTCTGAGGTACTCCTAACCTATACATACCCATTTTGTTTCTGTCAGGTGCAGATCCTTTGTCTAGTAGTTGCTTATTTCCTTTTTAGCAATATGTTACTGCAGACATCAAAGGTTTCAGGGACCAGGCTGCATTCTCTGAAGTGGTGGTGTTCCTTACTTACCCTTAGGTTCATTTTTATGTTACAGAAAAGTGAGGAGGAGGAGAAATGGACCTTCTCTCAAAAGAATGGGGTCATTCTCTAGCTTGTTTGGAGCTTTTTACAGGAAGAAGAAAAAAAAAAACCCAACCATCTAAAACTAGAAAGCAGAGTTCCCTGCTTTTCTTTGTGTTGTCCTGCTTTTCTAAGAGAAAACAATTATTCCTAAGCTGGTCCTAAGGTATGCTTGCTTTGTATGTCAGAACACCTGTCAGGAAAAAAATTTCCACTTGTCACAGGAAATACCAGCTGGTCAGCAGTGGAATTCCTTAATGAACAAGCTGCGCCTTTTCAATCCTCCCCACCTGTCCTCCTCTAATGACAACTGGAACATGTCACAGACAGAAAATCCGACCTTCCCCCAGCACCCATTGAGATGGGGGTGGAATGTAACCTTTTGGACAACCTGTAAAACCCCCCATGTAGTAGTCCAGAATCATTATTGTTATCATTAAAGGAACTATTTGTATATGAGGATCTCCTCCGACTTAGCTTCAAGTGACACTTGAAGGTTTGGAAATATTGTACTGACGGAGTTTGGTGGGGCTGGAGCTAGGGCGTGTGTCCCATTTATGGAAGCAATTTGTTCTTGGAGGCCACTTAAAAGCAAAATCCTAAAACTCAAAAAGATTTCAAGAAGGTGAAAAGTAACATAACAGTCACATGCCTGGAATGGTACAATACTATATGTTTTTATAAAGGGCTGAATTAGAGATCTTAAAAGTGGATTCTAGAAGAGGCCACTCTGAAAAGCCTGGTTTGAAGGAACAGGATCAGAAAGGGGAAAGGACTCTTGGCCCACACAAACAGGGTTCTTCTTCCTCTCCCAGACCCTGGGGCTTTCCCTCTTGTTGCTGGGAGGAAGGCCCCCTGGCACCTACTCCAGGTGGTCAGTAGGCTCTGGGGTCCTGTTCTTAACCTTTTTCTTGACAGATAAGGAAACCCACCCCCCCAGAAGTAGCTGGCCTGAGGGGTCACTTGGGGTCAAGGCAGAGTCCCGCCTCTGTCCAGCATCTTCCCACAGGCCCTGTGTGGCCTGCAGGTCAGGCCTCAGTCTCTCAAGAACTTGCCCACGCCTGTTCCAAGTCACAGTTATAGGGTTCTATTGTATACAATGGCTGGTCCAAGAAAAACTCAGTTGTAGAACTTGGGGTTTTAGGGAGGTAACTAAAGGGAATGGGGTTTATCTAAACCAGAAGTGTTCATTAGTCTCCCGTCCCCCTTAACCCTCTGCTGATGTGCTACCGGCACTGCTAAATTTCCATTAGCAGTGCTTGCTGGCCTCTTATGGCTGTCTGTAGGTAGCTGCTGCTGACTCAGGGGCGTCTCTCCACCAGGTGGCACTAGATGGGCACACAAGACAGAGGGTCCAGCAAGTACCTCTTGGGTTTAGAGTTCTGGGTGCTGGCAGATTTCCACTTTCCCACCCAGCCTTTAAGACTTGCTTTCCTCGGGGATCCCTGGGTGGCTCAGCAGTTTAGTGCTGCCTTCAGCCCAGGGCGTGATCCTGGAGTCTCAGGATCGAGTCCCACATCAGGCTTCCTGCGTGGAGCCTGCTTCTCCCTCTGCCTGTGTCTCTGCCTGTGTCTCTGTGTGTGTATGTCTCTCATGAATAAATAAAAATCTTTAAAAAAAAAAAAAAAAGACTTGCTTTCCTCTTGGAACCTTCCAGAACAGTCTATCCTAAGTCCTGCTCATCTGACCTTTTCTCTCCAAACTCTTGCTGGCTCTGGACAGGAGTGTTCGAGGTGTACCATTTACTTACTGGTTTGCTCATTGGCTAATGACATCATTACTCCACCCTTCAGCCTGCTGTTGGGATCCTAATGATGTTCCTTTAGCCGCCTCAGACAGCATGCTGGGAACACTGGGCTGCAACAAGCAGCTTCTGCAGTTCCTCTTCCTTTCCCTCCCCACCCTGGGGAGAAACTAGAATTGCATTCCTTCGGTCAGGGAAATCACCCAGCCCCACCCAGAGGGGAAAACCCTTTGTTCTAAAAACTGAGCACCAGCCTGTGTACCTGTGCAGCGAGGCAGCCCAAGCTTGAATTTGGGGGCCTCAGTAATAGGATGATGGAGGAGCTATTTTCTCCTCCTACACGTGCACCCCCATCTGTTCGAGATTTCCCTTCCAACTCCAGCTTGGCTGGCAGGCATGTCCCTAAGAAGCTGCAGGCCAAAATGGAGAGAGAGAGAACTGACTCCCTCCTCCACACATCCTGACTTGCTGCCAATTGCCAGAAAAAGAGGGCAACATTTGGGCATTTACCAGAAGACAAGGATGTGCCTTTTCATTTGTCTTTTATTTTCCATTTAAAAAGAGGTTATTGCTCTAACTGGATCAGAGGTAAGGACCTCTCCCCTAAGGAGCTTTGGCCTTGCAGCCCCATTCAGCAGGGATGGAAGTCACAAGACAATGAGTGGAGCCTCATGCCCTCCCATGAGGAAGCCCTTAGTATTGCTGACATCTGCCTTTCACCCTGTCTCTCCTCCCTCCCTGTGCTGTCACACCGGGGCGAAGCAGAGTCGTGGCTGACCGAGCCAGGAGAGCTCTTGTAGACCGGAAGGAAGGGGCGGTCATTGGGTGATGGCTTTCAGCTCTCTGGCTTGGGGGCCACTGCTCTCATCATTCAGTTCAACAGGTGTTCACTGAGCGCCTACTGTGTGCCAGGCTTGTGCTAGGCGCAGTCCTCCCACATGCCCGTCCTTAGCCACCAGCGGAAGACGAAGAGGCCCATCTCTTCCCATGCAGGCATTCAGCAGCCGTAACTTGTCAGTCCTAGGGAAGAGTCTGCCTTCCCTTATCAAGCACCATTTTTTTGTTTTGTTTTGTTTTGTTTGTTTGTTTTGTTTACCAGAAAGGGGCAGTAGAGAGAGAGACCTGTCACCTCACACCACTCAGGCTCTAGGGAAGGACATGAGGACCCTGGGGAGCTTTCACAGAACCCTGGATGAGATGGCAAGATATGGAGACCCCAGGGGCCAGGGCTGCTCTGACTGTCCACGGTAATGGCTCAGGCCTGCCTTCCAACAGCTTCTACTCCAGAGTGGGTGATTCAGCTGCCCCCAGGATGTCCCACGTGGACATACCTTTTCAGTTGTGTAAGCCGGCATTGTTACAACTCCAACAGCCTCTTCCGAAAGAAATGAGAAATGGGGCCAGTACCTTCCAGGTCTCTTTCCCACTTCGTCTTCTTAAGACTCCAGACTGAGGATGTTACAGTCAAGATGAGGGCCAAAGAAGACAGAGGCCTCAGGCAATCAGCTCGGGGAATTCCTCTGCCCTCTGGAGTGAAGCCCTTCAGTTGTGTTTTCCAGAGAGATAAGACATACCATCTTACACACTCGCAAAGTTGTGCATCACACCACAAACAAGTCCCTGATGGCTGGATCCAGAAAAAGGCTTGCTGGCAGCCATGACCCTGCCCCATGGCTTCCCTGATGGCTCTCGGTCTGAAAGACACAGCTGGAGTCGGTCTGGGTGCTTGTCATCTCCCAGGAACTTTGTGCATTTTCTCAGGGAGGAAGCCAGTCCAGGAGAGGCGAGGAGGCAGAAAGAAGGCTGTGTCTCATGCAGCTTTGCCTTTTCCAGAATGGGGCCAGGCCTTTTAGTTTTGTGGCTTGTTTATTTTTTGCAGAATTTGGGTTTGTAGTTCAGCCTCCTTCACCAGACTAGGATGGGGAAGAGGGAGAGCTGTGCCTCCCCCCACCGCAGTCCCTGTCCCTGTGCCCATGGACCTGGGGACCAGCAGAGAAGAAAAATGAAATCCTTCTCCCTGCAGACAGGCAGTCATGCTTCGATGATGTTCACCGAGGGCTTGTTTGGAAACTGGGAGGGGAAAAATGAGAGAAGCAGCCAGGGCTAATTGAATAGACTTCTTGCAAGGTTGGAGATGGGGGAGGGCACGAGAAGAAAGGAAGGAAGGGCTGCCTCCTAAAAGCCCGGCTCTTGTCCCGCGTGGAAGGGAAGGAGTAGCCCTGCCTGCA